CTGTTGCCCAGGCTAGAATGCAGTGGCACGATCTCAGCTCACCACAACCTCCACCTCCCGGGTTCAAGCGACTCTCCTGCCTCCACCTCCCAAGTAACTGGACTACAGGTACCCACTACCATGCCCAGCTAATTTTTTGTATTTCTTAGTAGAGATGAGGTTTCACCATGTTGGCCAGGCTGGTCTTGAACTCCTGACCTTGAGTGATCAGCCCACCTCGGCCCCCCAAAGTGCTGGGATTACAGGTGTGAGCCACCACACCCAGCCATCCCATTCCCTTCTTCAAGAGCTCTCCCTCAAGTATCTGGGGAGGTTTTATTTAGGTGAGAGCTTCTGAACATCCCTGTCAGAGAGAGCAGGCAGATGGGCAATACTCAGAGAAATTGCTAGTGACAGCTGCCAGTGGGAACTATAAAAGACTCGAGACCAGGTCATGCACGGTGGCTCACGCCTATAATCCCGGCACTTTGAGAGGCCAAGGTAGGTGGATCACTTGAGATTAGGTGTTCGAGACCAGCCTGGCCAATGTGGTGAAACCCCATCTCTACTAAAAATACAAAAATTAGCCGGGTATGGTGGTGGGCGCCTGTAATCCCAGCTACTTGGGAGGCTGAGGCAGGAGAATCACTTGAATGCAGGAGGTGGAGCTTGCAGTGACCCAGATTGCACCACTGCACTCCAGCCTGGGCAACAGAACAAGACTCCATCTCCAAAAAAAAAAAAAAAAAAAAAAATACTGGAGACCAGTATCTCTTGGTCAGCCAAGACCAAGCAATTAACTAATTCCTCTCTTGGATCGCTTTTTTTTCTGGGATGGCTATATTGGAGATTGTGGAGTCAGGTAAAAGATTTGGAATAACAGGGTTAGAAACCCTAGGAATGGGTGAGCCAAAGGAATGGGTTTTAATGGAGAGGGAGGTCAAGAAGACAGGAGTCACCAAAGGCCACAGGACCCATGGTCCAATGTCAGCAAACAAGTCTCTGTGTTACCTGCACTGTGGATGGACTCGTCCCCTTGGAATGGACACTCACTCAGGGCTCCTACCCGGGCCATGGACCCACCCAGAATAATTTTCATAGATTCCACAAAGCCCTGGGGGGATAGCAGCAGAGTAAGGTGGGAAGGTCTACCAACCCCTTCCCCAACTGGTGCAAATTCTATTTCCACAGAACTCAGAGGCTCCTCCCGGCTCACCTGCATCCTCAAATATGCTTTCTGTCCAGTCCTAATCTCCAGCCCATCGACCTCTGCTGGAGGAATGGGGGCCAGTGCTGGAAGGCCTGCATGTTGGTCACCCAGTTTGCAGTCCACATAGAGATGCAGAGCAGGGCTGGGTCTGGAGGGACCTCGGAGTCGCAGGAGAACTGTGTGTGTGCGACCATCGGCCAGGCCTGCTTGCTGTAGGTTCACGGCGTGGACTTTGCCATCCTCCCGCTGGTATCGCACCAGTACTGCCCAGGAGGGGAGATCAGTATGGGTGCTATCCCCTTCCCCCTGCCTCCCAGCTGAGCCTTGGATCAACTCTGCTGGATACCACATCTCTAGGGCCCCCATCCCTAATTCTACTATGTAGCTGTCAACACTTTGTATGTAATAGGTACACAATAAATGTTTTTGAAATTGGTTTAGAGGCCAGGCACAGTGACTCACACCTGTAATCCCAGCACTTTAGGGGGCCAAGGTGGGCAGATCACTTGAGGTCAGGAGTTCGAGAACAACCTGGTCAACATGGTGAAACCCTATTTCTACTAAAAATACAAAAGTTTGCCATGCGTGGTGGTGAGCACCAGTCTCAGCTACTCAGGAGGCTAAGATAGAATCGCTTGAACCCAGGAGGTGGAGGTTGCAGTGAGCTGAGATTGTACCACTGCACTCTAGCCTAGGTAACAAAGCGAGACTCCGTTGGAAAAAATAATTGGTTTAGAGATAAATACTTTCTTAGTATTCATTGGTATCAGATGACTCTATCCTCTCCTATGGTGACAGCTGGTTCTGTGGCCACTGAACTGTTCCAGGGATCTGAAAGACCTTTCTATACCACCGCTGAGGCACAGAGACATGCCTCACCTCCCTCCAAGCATCCCCAAGTACAACCTCCCATCCCTACAAATATCAGGACTCAAGCCTCACCCTATTGTTTGGTACATGGCCTCTTAAAGCACCTTGTAAGCACCCCATACCAGGCGCCCCTGATGTCTGGGCACAGCCTGATGGGACCTTGGTCCCCAGTGGAGGCCAAGGAGAATGAGGAAGCACTTGTGAAGTAGGGATGAGGGATAATACTTAAAAGAGGTCACCATTGCAGGAAAGGAGATGCCCACCAGTCACCTTTGTTGATCTTGCCTACAACAGAGGCCTCCAGCCATCGCGTGTTGTCTTGGCGAGAATAGAGGCCAAAGAGGACGCCACCCTGCTTGGGGGGCAGGCGGAAGGTGGACAAGAGGTAGATGTCCCCAGCAGTGAGCAGGGCTGTCCGGATCTTCTCTGCCACAGCTACCATCTGCCGAGACTCGCCCACAGTCAGCAGGTCAATTACTGGTCAGGCAGGGGTTATCAAGGTTAGAGAATGGGATCAAATGCTAAGGTATGCCCTCCCCTGAGCCCACATCACTCCCTATTCCCATCACCAGGCAGTGTTAATCACCTCAAAATTCAACCCTTGGCTGGGCGCAGTGGCTCGCACCTGTAATCCCAGCACTTTGGGAGGCTGAGGCAGGTGGATCGCCTAAGGTCAGGAGTTTGAGACCAGCCTGACCAACATGGTGAAACCCCGTCTCTACTAAAAATACAAAAACAACAACAAAAACTCGCCGGGAATGGTGGCGGGCGCCTGTAATCCCAGCTACTCAGGAGGCTGGGGCAGGAGACTCGCTTGAACCTGGGAGGCGGAGGTTGCAGTGAGCCGAGATCGCGCCACTGCACTCCAGCCTGGGCAACAAGAGTGAAACTCCGTCTCAAAAAAACAAAACAAAACAAAACCTCAACTCTTGTTGCTCTCAGAAGACAGAGCCGCTGTGCCTTCCTTTCCCCATTATTGCCTATTACCACCTTCTGGGAACCTGCAGGTTTGAGGCTCACTTTGAAACACAAACAGCACCCCACAAATTTGAGATGCCCCCACCAGGTGGCGCAAAGGAGATGCTGTGCTGATCCCCCTCAGGAGTGGCACCTGGTTCCCACAACGCAGAAACGGGAGGCAGTTTCTCTTTCCATTCCTGGATTTGGCTCGTTCCACACCCTAGTTCCCCTCCTTCCATCCTAGGGGCACAGCACACTCGCTCTGGATAAGAACAGTTGCCCACTGAGGGCTCTGACCCTCCCACCATCTGGGCTATCTCCCACCGGAATGTAGGACCCAGCTCCTCTGCCTCCTGTGTCCTGGCCAATCTGTGGTTTTCCCTCCAGCCAGTAAAGAATCTATGCCTGTGTCATCTGCTCCAGCTACCTCTCCCACATCCATTGGCCCATCCCACCACCAGACCTCCGGGAGAGCCCAGGCTTCTTGGTCCCCACCCCCGCCCTATCCTTGGGCAGCCAGGAGCCCAGAGGCACGAAGCCCAGGGACCTACAGTATGCCCACCTTCAGGCTGCTCTCCCAGACCCCAGGGTGCCTACAGATGCTCAGGAACCACCCCAGCCAGACAGCCTGAGCATCCAGTTCCTGAGTCCTCTGCCCTGGCCTCATGCCTGACCCTGGCCCGTTCCAACTCCCCCACTACTCTGTGGTGCCCACTCCTGTCCACCAGGCCATAATTTCACGAACCCTAGGCAGTCTAACGTTTTCCTCTGGCTCAATTTCTAGACTCTTCCCTCTCCCTTTGCCCACATGCTCTCTGCTACTTGGATTGAGGGAAAATGGGGAAGACACAGAGAGCGGTCTCAGAGGATGGAGACAGGCTTACCCTGCAGGTCCTGACTGGCAGATGCGAAAGAGCAAAGGAGGAGAAGAGCCAGGGCCCCCCGAAGTTCCTGCGTCTCCATGCCTTTCAGCCGGCTCACTACCCCTGGCAGGCAGGCAGCTGGGAGGGGAAAAGGCTAGGCGGAGAGAGCAGGAGCCGGGGGGCGGAGGGACAGAGTTGGAGGGGGGGCCAGCAGGCGGGTGAGGGGGGGCTGAAACAAAGAGCTGCCAATCACCCTGGAGGCATCATCAGCTCTGGGAACCAGGGGCACTGGGAAAGAATCCTGGAGGCCTCCCTGCCTTCTACCTCTCCCTAATGATCCTCTCCCAGGTGCCTCCCTCTCCGCAGTCATCACATTGTTGGGGGTCTCCGCACACAGCACTACCGAATGCTACTGTTTTCTGGAAGCCACGATTGTGGAAGGCAAGAACCTCTGGCAGGGGCAGTGCTAGACAGTGGGCATTATTCCACAGCTGGCAGGAAAGGATGCCAAAGGAGTGGCCGAAACTAGCTTGCTATAGTGCCCAGGGATGCCCACATGGCATGAAGTTAGATGTTCTGGCGCAGCAAGTGCTCTTTATTAGGGTGAGGGTTCCCTGATACGTGCCTGTTTCTCCATTTTCCCTCATTCCTAGGAAAGCTTGGGAGTCTGGAAGCGTCTGAGGGGAACTGAAGGGAGAATCTAAAGCAGTGGTGAGGTCGGAGTGAAGAAACCAGGAAAGACCAAAGGGACACCAGGGACAGGCGTAGAAGACCAGGGGGACAGGCGAGGAGCCAAGGACCAGACTGTGGAACATTGTGGGTACTAGCGGACGGGCCGTGACCCGGATGAAGCAGAGGGGCGCCGGAGTTCCCGTTACCTAAGCAACAGCCTGCGAGCCGCTCTTCCCCTCCCCCACCCAAGCCCCAGCCCGGCCTTGCCTCCGGCCGCCGCCACCGCCCCTGTTTTGTTTCCATGGCGACAGGCGGCGCAGGGCCCGCTCCAAACATAACGCGCTGTGGAAAACATGCTGCTCGGGGGACCCCCCCGCAGTCCCCGCTCGGGCACGAGCCCCAAGGGGCCCCGGAGCAGTACAGGCCACGTGCAGTTTGGCAAGAGCCCTCAGACCTGGCCCAGGCGCACAAGACCCCGCTCTCCTGAGCCTGTCGCGCCTTCAGGGGCTCGGGGCTTCACTCA